GGCAGGGGGAGCCGGGGCGGTGCGGCAGAAGAGCAAGGCCAGCAGTCCCTGCTGCAGGGCTGCACAGCACCCAACGGGCTCATGGTCACCCTCCAGGTGATTACTGCTATTAGGACAAAGCCAGCTAAGCTGCTTCTCATCCCCTTCCTCTTCGTCTTAAAGGTAGTTTTCCAAGCGCTGTCCATGCCCCCCCCCGCAAGCCTTCCCTGTGTGAGATGGGCTGAAGGGTAGCGCAGCCACAGGAAATTACTGGAGAGGCAGGAAAACGCTGGCTTGAACTCGCCGGAGGATTTTGGCCATGGACATTCATGCTGGAGGATCGGTGAGAGCACTGGAGCCACCCAGCATGAGTGCTGGGGGCTGCTTCAAGCTGGAAAATCCCTGAGAGACAGCCCTTGCCATCACCACGGGGCCAGGGACACCCTGGGGGACTCCTCTCCCCATCATGCTGGAGCATCTCGGCAGGGTCTCGGCAGGTGCCGCTCACCACGTGAGCCCTGGAGGTCAGTGCCGGCCACACACACAGAACAAGCCCCACTTGGGACCCCATGGGCCATGGGTGCCCCGGGGGAAGGATGCCCAGGGAGCTCCGTGGTGCTGCCAAGCCTCCCTCTGCATGGGCAGAACATAGCTACTGATTTCCATGGCTACCTCCAATGGAGACAGCAGGAAGGAAAATGCCAGCAGGCCCAGCTATGCAGTCAGGGGCAGCCACCAGCACCACAGTCCTCAGCACCCCAAGCCTCACAAAGCCACCCCTGCACCCAGCAGTGCTGCAGGGACACTGGCTCCCCAAAGCCTCATGAGAGGTGCTAACCCCCTGCAATGGCACTTTGCCCAGGAGATGACCTCCCTCCCTGCTGCACTGCTACCAGGGACAGGGGCAGGCAGCATCACCCCAGATCCTGGCACAGTCCTTTGCCACCAGCTAGAGATACACTGTGGGTTTAAAAATAAAAACAAGCCTTCTGGGAACAGCCATAAGTCTTCAGACCGCAGTTCATCCATCACTTTGAGGTGCCCTGTGACCAACAGTCACAGCAAGTAGCCCCAAGTGTTGCTGCAGCTTCTCAGAAGGATCTCCACGTACTTCATAAATTAGCTCACAAACATCAATTAGGCAGCACTGATAAATGGCATGTGATCGTGGTGATAATGCCAAGTGCACTGTGTACCTGGCAGGGCACGCGATGCCAAACCAGCAGTGCCGGTTCTCACGCTGGCAGCCAAGCCATGCACTAACCACCACGGCCTCTGCATCCCATCTGGAAGGACCCCCAAAACAAGGCACACTAGGTAATGGGATGGCCCCAGGAGAGATGCTAAGCAGAGGCTCCACATCTCCACTTGTCCCCTACTTCCTTCCCTCTGCCAAATCCAAGCAGGGGCCTCATCACCTGCAAGCAGAGAAGCCAACAGGTAGAAAGGGGCTGCAGGTCACTACAGAGAACAGCATGTTGGGATACAGTGAGTCACAGGATATAGTTACTCTTTTGTCTTTCAAGATGAGTGGGTCATACCAAGGAGGCTGGAGAAGACCCAGCTGTGCAGCTCAGGTATATCTACTGATTTTTGCCAAGCCCTACATAAGATGCAGCAGCAGCACAAAAACCATCCCAAGGTGGAAGGATGGATTGGAAGAGGAGAGCAGTAGCTGATGCACTGGACAGCCCCAAGCAAGGTCAGGGAGGGATTTCACAGCAGAAATCATTTCCCCTCACTGACCAGACATGCCAATATTCAGGCACAAAGGTTATTCCTGGGCTGTGCTCATCAGGGCTGCCCTGCACAACCAGGCCTACTGCCCTGCACCCAGGGTTTTGTTTATCCTATCTGCACCCAGAGCAGTCTGTGTCTGACTAACCACAGAGTTAAATCACACAATAACTGAAAGCTAAGTAGCACATTTAGGCATACATTAGTTTTTTTCTTTAAGACCTGAAACAGAAATAACATCAAGCAATTTTTAATATCCCACAGCAGAAGAGGGCTGTGGGTGTGAGTTGGGGTTCCTGGGGGCCACTGAGGTCCCTCAGGGGGCTTTGAGAGACCTCAGTGGCCCCTGGCAACCCCAGCTCACACCACTAACAAATAAAACCCAAAACATGCAAGTGAGCCCTTTCCCTCAGAAACCACCTCATCCTTGGCATCCTCAGCGGCCAGAAAAATAATATTGACCCTAAATGATGACATAACTAATATTACAATTCCCCAGTGATACAGTTTGCTGTGTGATCCTTTAGATGCCAGTCACAGTGAAGTTGTAATTTAATATCTATTAACATTTGAAAGATCTGTCTGTCAG